TTTTTTTTTTTTAATCGGAAGCAGGCTCCAGGCTCTGAGCCATCAGCCCAGAGCCCGACGCGGGGCTCGAACTCACCGACTGTGAGATCGTGACCTGAGCCGAAGTCGGCTGCGTAACCGACTGAGCCACCCAGGCGCCCCTATAATGAACATCTTAATGGCTATAGTTTTTCACTATTTCGATTAGTTCCTTGGAGTGATTCCCAGAAAGTGGAATCATTGAGTCAAACATTGTAAACGCTTTAATATATTTTGAAATATATTGTCACTTGTCTTCTAAATATACCTTCCAATCGCTTTCGGAAATTACCAGTTTACAGTTCCATAGCTATATGTGAGATAAAAGTTTCACCAATGTTTATATACCTATACTTAAAAATCTGTATCATTGCTTTAAACATAAAAAAAAAATTCTAGCAAGGTTGCATATGCGTTTATATGTATTCTTGCATTGTTTTTCTTTTTATCTATTTGTGTCTTTTGCTTATATGTCTACTAGGATGTCAGTATTTTTTTTAGAGTAAAGATAAATTTATTTGTGGAAAATATTTTTTACAGCCCATTGATTACCTTTTATGTCTTTTCAAAATGTAACTATATCTGTTTATTTTTTTGGTGATTTCTTCTATAGCTTGTAAGTTTTAGAAGTCCTCTCCCGGTTTGACAAATATTCAATAATGTTTTCTTTTAATTTGAAAATTATGTTAAATTCTATCATTCGACAAATACTTACCTATCACCCACTCTGGACCAATTATTATGCTAGGTGTTGGGGACATGGTAGAGACCAAAATAGAAATGACCTCTGATTGCACGGACCTAGGAGAAGGTGGATATTTGCAAGGGCTGACAATTTAATTTTAGCCTCCTACATGGCAAGAGAGAAGTCTGTTAATAAAGCACTTATGACGCCTATTCTGTCATTTTGGATAACTTTTTTTTTTTTTTTTTTTGGTACAGTAGTGTGAGAGTATGGCTTAAATTAATTTTTCTTTTCAAATTGCCACTTGTTATTACAATATCATTTATTGCATAGGTATTTCCCACTCATTGATTTACGGTATTTCATGATCTCTATAATATGGAGGCACTATAATATATGTGTTCTGGAGTCAGGCTAACCTGTGTTTAGATCCTGGCTATCCACGCACTAGCCAAGTGACTTTGGACATGCTTATCCTATTTGAACTTCCGTTTCTTCATCTGTAAAGTATGGTGGCAATATTATCTATTATTGAGCTATTGTAACAATTAAAAGCAAAAGGGTTAACACTTTTTAAAAAAGCACTGCATTATTCTTGTCAGATGATCCTGATGAAAAATTGGCCTATACATGATTACACGATGTTTTTCCACAGGTGAAGGCAAAAAACATAACCCAAAAAGCAAAGTTTCATATGGAAATGAGTTTGCATTAAGAAAATGCTCATGAAACGAGGTCGTTTTTATTTAACTTTTTGCTTCTCAGCGGGGTGCACGCATATCTACATCGTTGTTGGAGGGCGTGTGTTTTATCATTGGCTCAGTGGAATTGAATTCCCAGCTCACGTAGGTGGTTGGAGTTCATGTGAGCCTGCTCAACTTAAGATAAAAAAAAAAAATCTCAGAACTCTGTCAAGGCCTTTGATCCTGACTTCCTTGTCTCTCAGATGCCGGGTGCACTACTGGTGTTGGGCCTTGTGACACTTTGATTTCTTCCTCTTGTCCTGACCTCAACTTCATAACCTATTTGCATTCTTGCTTCTGGTCTTGGTCAGTGGTCTTGAGTAAGTCTGCTCCTAGATGCATTAGGCTCATTTTCTGCATTTGTCTTCCTTTTCACCCTCTCAGGAAGTCCCTTGCATAATCTGCAAATTCACAGGGGGCAGAAGTGGCAGTGGGTGGGGCCTCGTGTCCAGGGCCTGCTCACCTCTGGGCTCTCAGCTCTTCAGCAAAAGCTTTGGGGGAGAACAGGGGAAATGTGAACTTCCTTTAATCCTAAAATGAACATTCTTGTTTTTTTTCTTTTTCAGTCCTAACTTAAACTGGATTTTCAACTCTGATCTGTCCGTTGGTTGGCACCTCTCATCGTCGCATGTCAGTAAGAAAGAAACCCTTTGGGGGAAGTTTTCAGAGTGTTTGTAGCAAACACAATTAGGAGGAATTCTTAGAAGCAGCGGAGGTCGGCAACTGTGCCAGGATAATTGTTACATTTTAAACACGATGTCATCCCCTGAGCAAAGTGAAATGAGCCAGAAGGCACATGTAGACAGGTATGCCCAATTTGTTTTAAAGCCCCAGAAACCCATTCAGCCTTACATCTGCTCGACTCTGAGTGATTTTCAAGAAGAGAGAGACTTTCTGGCCGACTACATCTTTCCTCAGCTTAACGAACTCTGCAATTCCCGGGGCACGTATTTCAAAGCCGTGGACCTGAGGTGGTCAGCGTTGAAGGCCCCGCCACCCTCACCCTCCAACCTGTTCAGACAGCATTCTTGTCTCCACTCCTGGTATCTGAAGCTCTGTCTCGACTATGTGAACAGCTGTTTTCCTTTCTTCATCTGCATGCTGGGTCAGACGTACAGGGACTTCCTCCCTGATCATGTGCCTCTAATGCTCTCCAGAGTGACTGACTTGTTCAGTTTATCCACGGTAGAACAGAACCTCTACGTTGCTGCAAAAAATGGTTATCCTTGGGTCCTGGAGAATCCCAACTACAGTTTGACGGAGTTTGAGGTCATCCAAGCAGCATTTCTGAATGAGTCTCCATTTCAGTATTTTTACTTTAGGACTGGAACCATGCTGCTGAAGACTTTAGATGAGGAAAAGGAGGGGCTGTCCTCGGGATCTCTGCTGACTGATGAGGAAAAATTAAGGATTGGAAAGCTTAAGGCCAAGATTATTAGCAAAGGGCTCCGTGTCCGATTTTATAAAGATCTCCACGAGTTGGGGGACCTGGTTTTCAAGGACTGGTCAGTTGTGATAGAACAACTTTACCCAGCCACTTTAATGATCAGAAATACAGGTTAGTAACTACTGAGAGAGCTAAGTCTATTATCAACATAAGGCTAATATGTTTTGTTATGTCTTCTTTGTAAGAGGAACCTTTAAACAACTGAACATATTCCTTAAACCTTTAAAATCGTTACCATATTCCTGTAACATGCATTTCTCCATTTGGAGATTTTTGAAATGGAAAATAAGAGCAAATGAGGGGTCATGGAAGACTGTTGAGGAAGTTCAGGAGCTCTGAGACGACCTAAAATATTTGGCAGTTAATGTGGTAGATCTGGAGCAGAGCGTCTCGATCAGGGCTCGTCGTTCCCTGCGGGGCATTTGGGCCAAATCTGAAGACATTCTGGCATCAGAGCCAGGGGATGGTCCCGGTGTCCTAATGGGTGGAGGTCAGGGAAACTGCCACACATCTTACAGCAGACATAACAGCCCCCCATAAGAAAGGTTTTCCAACCTGAAATGTCAATAATGTCAAGGCTGAGAAACCCCTATTTAAAGGGAAGAGAGCTTTTATTAATTTTTGGGTGCCTTTTGTATGTTTTCACATTTAATCTTCAAGATTTAGCCCTGCAAGGTAAGCACTATAAATCCTGTTTTACAGATGAGCAAATGAAAGCTGCTGTATGGCAGTTAAGTGACTTCCCTGATATCACATCATTAGCGAGGGATCATTCTGGGATTTGAACCCAGGGCATTTTGACTCCGAAATCCCCCCCTCATTTTCTTTCAACCTTACCACTCAGTAATCCATGGACCGGCACTGAGCATCACCTAGGAGCTTTTTAGAAATGCATTCCAGGTCTACTGAATAAGAGTCTGCCTTTTAAATTTTTTTTTTTCAACGTTTTTTATTTTTATTTTTGGGACAGAGAGAGACAGAGCATGAACGGGGGAGGGGCAGAGAGAGAGGGAGACACAGAATCGGAAACAGGCTCCAGGCTCTGAGCCATCAGCCCAGAGCCCGACGCGGGGCTCAAACTCACGGACCGCGAGATCGTGACCTGGCTGAAGTCGGACGCTTAACCGACTGCGCCACCCAGGCGCCCCAAGAGTCTGCCTTTTAATAAGATGACCAGGTAAGTTGCATACCCATTAAAGTTTGATAAGCACAGCTTGCCATTCTGCCTCTAAATGAAGTGATTACATTTATTTTTGAAAGTAGTGACTCATGGACACATACAGAATAAAAGGGGAAGAGCAATATTAGAGAATGGCAGAGGTCTTTCACCTAGACAGACTTTGGGAGGGATCTGTGCTGCCCTTAAAATTATATTTAAAAAAATTAGAATGTTTACACGTATATGTGTGTTTTGCAGGAGGTGGGGGTACGGAGATGGCCTGTGTCTTTGATCAGATTCTCAGAAGGTTCAATGACCCAATGATCCAAAAAAGGTTATGAAGTACCGTTGTAAAGGCCCAATTAATGTGGGCTTGCAACGTGATGGCAGGTGGTACATTCCCAAATGCTTTTGGGGGGCCAGGCAGGCCGTAGTCCTTATGGTAGGGAGCAGGTGGATTTGTGGTAAACTGAAGGGACAGAGTTGACTCACCTAAAGTCATTCAAATGCAGCGTTGGTGGGGAGGAAGGGGGTGGTGAAATCCCACCTGTGCCCATCAACTCTGCCTACAAGCCAAATCATTTTGGAGTCCTAGAAAAGAATGCTGTGTCAGTCATAACTTTTTGGGTTGCGGGTGACTCAAACTGACTTTAACGAAAAAGGGATTTATTAGGTTATATAAGTTTTTTTTTTTTTTTTTTAATTTTTTTTTCAATGTTTATTTATTTTTGGGACAGGGAGAGACAGAGCATGAACGGGGGAGGGTCAGAGAGAGAGGGAGACAGAGAGTCGGAAACAGGCTCCAGGCTCTGAGCCATCAGCCCAGAGCCCGATGCGGGGCTCGAACTCACGGACCGCAAGATCGTGACCTGGCTGAAGTCGGACGCTTAACCGACTGCGCCACCCAGGTGCCCCTAGGTTATATAAGTTTAAAGCCCAGGATTAGGTCTGGTTCAGCTCAGGCTTCAACCAGTGGCTCCAATGATGTTACCAAGCCCTGGTGTTCTATTATTTCTCAGCATGGCTCTGCTGTCTGATGCTGCTTCAGTTCCTCGGCTCCTCCACCATGGAAGGAAGGTGGCTGTATCAGCTCTAAATTCAAGTCCAGCAGAAATGGTTGAGAGACCTATCACTGAGTCTTTCTGTCCCTGATTAGCCTGAGACCATATGCTTGTATCTGACTTAATCACTGGTGCCACGAGAGTGTGACGCTCTGATTGGCTAATCCTGGGTCATATGTCACCTTGGAGCTGGAGGTAGAGTCAGACCCACTGGAATAACATGAATGGAGAGTTGGGACAGGATGGGATACCAAATGATAAGCTGGGGCTGTTACTGAAACTAGAGTAGGTGAATGCGTGTTGAGTGTCAAAAACTATCCTGAATGTTTACTACAAGGTTGGGGTTTTAGAATGTCTAAGGACAGACATGTTCTCAGATCTCAGATTTTTCAGTTCCTAGCTGTGTGTGACCTTGAGCAAATGGCAATATTGGTAAGCCTTAGTCTCTTCTTGTGTATAATGGGTTAACATTAGCCACCTTGAGAGTAATAATGTGTGTAAAATACCTAAAAACAGTGCCTAATGGATATTAGGCACAGAGCAAATAAAGCTAATAAAAACGAATAACCACACACGAGTGCTGGAAGGATATATGCTTTTGGCCAAAGCTTGAAATATGGTTAATGGTGGTATTCTTTATGTCACTATTAGTGACTAATCTCAATCTGAACTGCATTATGTAGATTAATATTTACTAATGTGTTTAAGAATCAAGCCTGTCTGTGTATTTGGGTTAGAGACAGGTCGGGTCTCCATAGTATTCTCCTTTGCCTTTGATTTTAGTCATTACTGAAAAATTAGCTTGCTTTAGACTTTAGTTTTGAATGTATGATATATGGACTAAATGTGTGAATTAGAAGTTACAGAATGGATGAATTATTTTAAAAAAGGCTTTAGAAAGAATCGCTACATTATTTTTCTTTTGTATCTTTGATACCCTTTAATCACCCAGGTAGTTCCAAAATCTGATGGGAGTGGGTGGTGGGTAGCAAAAGGCCACTTGGGAAGCTGGTGGTTATTATAAGACAATATAGAGCTATTTGGTTCATACTCTTCACTCTTAGAAACACTTCTGAGGTCCTTGGAAGTACTTGAGATTAGTGGGTGAGGTTCAAGTTCACCTCAAGAGACCCATTAGACTGTGGGATCGTTCCCAATTCTGTCTAAGATCTTGAAATTTGAAGCTGACTTTGGCCAGACTGTAGGATTTCCAGGTCTGTTTGGCTCTAACCTGAACCAAAGGGCAGTCCAGTTAAGTATGGAGGTCCAAGGTAAGGTGAGTATCTTCAGAACCTACCACGTTAGCCTACCTGGTGTTCGTTTTCCTGCATAACAGCCTCCCTCCATTAAAACAAAAGCAAAAACAAACTTTGGGGGATCTAAATGTCTCCAGAGACAGAAGGGCATTTTGGCAGTCCAGAACACCTTGACTTTAATTAAACTGTGAGTTTAGAATTACGGTAAATTGAAACTGGAAGGAATCTCTGAGAGATCCAAGTGTCTGGCCCTGCCCGTTATTTTACCAGGGAGTTTAACAGGCTTGCCCAATGGCAGAGTTACACTTCTACCCATGGTTGTCATTGGATCAGGGCATCTTGTCCTAAAAATACACCCTGCTCTCCCAGCCCCTGCCATGGTTAGACATATAAACGTTTGCCACAAGATTGAATTAGGTAACTTCATGCTTAGTTAACAATCTAAAAAGATGAGGGGATGTATGTAGCAAATCTAGTTTTTGTTTTTGTTTTTTTTTAAGTTTACTTATTTTGAGGGGAGAGAGCATACACAGGTAGGGGAGGGGCAGAGAGAGAGAGGCAGAGAGAGAGGGAGAATCCCAAGCAGGCTCCATGCTGTCAGTGCAGAGCCCAACTCAGGGCTCTATCTCACGAACCATGAGATCGTGACCTGAGTGAAAAGCAAGAGTCAGGCACTTAACTGACTGAGCCACCCAGGCGCCTTGCAAATACAGTTTTTATTTTTTATTTTTTTGCCCTTGTTATTCTGAGGTCATGAAATAACTTGAAATCCTAATAGGATTCCATATATGAATAGCTTTAGGAAGATTAAATTGCTTGCCTATTGTTTGCTTTCACTAGAATATGTGATGGGCTGTGAAACATGGTACCAACACAGACAGAAGGTGATACAGATGCAGAAGGGGAGACATCTTCCTGGGCATTTATCATAACCACATGTAATGGAAAATGTGAAACAAATCTAAGACATTAAAACTTATCTTTTTGTCCCTAAAGACTACAAACACAACTGTGAACATTTCTATCATGAAGAGTTCGTGGAGAAGTGCAAAGAGGTGTTATTTCCAAGGAATCAAACAGAACCTTTGAAATCTTGGAAAGATTTGCCTTACAGGATGTGGGATCTGATCGTAACAGTGCTGCAGCAGGCTCTGGGTTAGATGCTGTCCTCAGGTAAGATGGCAAGAAATCTCAAGCCTTTTCCTTAGGCTTAAGTAAAACAGCCTGACTTTAGTGACTATGATCCCTCAAGTTTTGGCCGTCCTCCCCTACCTCCCCTTTTCTATGCCCACCCTTTCCTGCATGAGAGGCCTCCTAAAAGCCACCCTTGGGTTAGAATTTCCTTGTCAGATATCACTCTGCATTTGCAAAGTTTTCCTGGCTATTTCAGTTTCTTCCAGTCTCCTCAAGAAGATTCTTAACTCTGGAGGGTAGAGCTTGCCTCCTTTTCCCCCCATAGATCTAAGTTGCTGGAAGTAATTCCTGACAACGATGGAAAAACTTTAAGGAGAAGAAATTGGATTAGAAAATATGAACAATGCATCTGTATAGAGTCGTGTATTTTACAAAGAGCTTCCACATACATCATCAGCTCATTATTCCATGAAGATTTTCAGCTAAGACTTATTTTAAATTTTTAAAAATGTTTTTATTTATTTTTGAGACAGAGACTGACAGAGCATGAGCACAGGAGGGGCAGAGAGAGGGGGAGACACAGAATCCGAAGCAGGCTCCAGGCTCTGAGCTGTCAGCACAGAGCCCGACACGGGGCTCGAACTCACGAACTGCGAGATCGTGACCTGAGCCGAAGCCAGATGCTTAACCGACTGAGTCACCCAGGCGCCCCATTCAGCTAAGACTTATTAAGTGCCTACTGTGGGCCACATTATTATTTGTGTTTGTGCACAGAATTGAGTTCTCTTACCCAGTGTGTGCACTCCTTCATTGTTTTGTCCAGCGTCGTCCACATTAAAACCCCCATATCTTTCCCCACCCGGGAGGCATGGGTTCACCCCCCACAGGCATGAGGAGGCTGGGGCGTGAAGTCAGAGTCCCTCTCTGTCTCATCAGTAGAAATAGGGAGATTCTCGAGACAGTTTTATTTCTCCATCCTCCGCCTCCACTTCTTACCACAGATCGCATTTATTCTGTCAGTTTTGTAGTTTGAAATAAACCCACAATGGCTGGGATGGCTCAGCCACTCACCCCACCTCTCCCTCTCCACCATCCTCCTCCGCCGCCTCTGCCCCTGTCTCTGCACCCACCATTTCAGCTCACCGAGGTGTAGAGCTACCACCATTTTTGTGGTTCCGGGAACTCCTGCCAAGAGGAAGACAAGTTATTTGGTTAATACGACATGGAGGTCAGTCAAGGCTTTTAAAACTTACAGGAGTTTGGATCTATAGGTCACGTGTTTAAAAAATCTTAGCTTTGAGGGGCACCTGGGTGGCTCAGTCTGTTGAGCATGCGACTTCGGCTCAAGTCATGATCTCAGGGTTTGTGAGTTCGAGCCCCGCATCGGGCTCTCTGCTGTCAGTCTAGTCTGTCAGCCAGTGCAGAGCCCGCTTCAGATCCTTTGTCCCCCTCTCTCTGTCCCCTCCCCCAATAAAAAAAACCCTTAGGTTTGAATGGGCAAATCAATAGAGACAGAAAGTAGGTTAGTGGCAGCCAGAGGATGAAAGAAGAGGGGAAACGGGAAATGGCCCCTAGAGGGTCTGGAGGTTCTTTGTGGGGGGCTGAAAATGGTCTGGAATTAGTAGCGATATTCGTACAACCGTGTGAATATAGTGAAAGCCGCTGAAGTATACACTGGACAATGATGAGTTTTTGGTACGTGAGTTGTGTCTCACACAGGTTATAACTTTAAGCGTTTCAGAGTAGATGAAAAATTTGATAAATTGTACTGCAGTGACAAGTCTGACTGTGCCCAAACAAAAACAACAATGAAATAAGTCCTTCGAAATTAGCTGTGTGGAAACAGGATTTTGCCATTTGGAAACAATGCTTTGGACTGTAAGTTCCCAAATTATATGTGTAGGTAGTGGAAAGGGGCGTTCTTTTGAGGTTTCCAGGCATTGTCTTAGTAACTGACCGTCTAGAGCAATGGCCACAGATTGCTTTGCAATGTTTTCATTTTCCATTTGTTACTGAGAAGAAATTATTCAGAGCCTAGCCTAATTATGTGGATGTATTCTATTTGTATTTTTCCTTCATTGGTTACCTGCTAAGTGCCAAGGAGTGTTCTAGACATGGGACACAGCAGTGAACAAAGAGACAAAACCCCCTGCCTCCACGGAGCTTAGATTATGGAGCTAGGTAACAAACATGATAAATATGGAAAATATGTAATAGGTTCGATGTCTTTCGTGCTGCGGAGTGAAGTATAAAATTTTGAAAGGGAATAGGCCATCTGGTAGAAGGTGGCATTGGGCTGACTACTGGAAACAGGTGAGAGAGCAAGCTATGCAAATATGGATTGGACAAGCATTCCAGACAGAGGGAACAGCAAACACAGAGGTGCTGAGGCAGGAGGAATGGCAGGGAGGCCAGAGGCTGGAAGGAAGTCAGGGCTGTAGGGAGGGTGGTGGGGGACGAGGGTGGACATGTAATGGATGGGGGGAGGGGGAGGGTCTTATCTGTTCTCACAGGTCATCGTAAGGACTTGAGGTTTTACCATTTTTGGACAGAGAAATGACATATGTGACATAGTTTGACAAGCTCACTGTGGCTGCTTGGCTGAGGATAGACCTAAAGAGGGCAAGGGTGGAAATAGGACACAAAATCAGATTCTGCCATTCACATTTCATGGAGACATAATTAAAGCAATAACACATTGACTCCTAACTCATAATAATGGTGATGGAATTCTTAGGGAGTGACTTCTGTTTAATGATCCTAACCTGCTTTAGGTTTCTATTTTAATGGCTCTTCACACTGATCTTCTTGCTCTGCTGAACCCGAATGTCAGGCTGGCTTATTTTATGCCATTCACTCATTCAGCAGCGTGCGATTAGTACTGTCCCAGCCACAAGCTATCCAACAGTGAGTACGAGAAGCCTGGTAACTGCCTCCTTGGAACTTAACTCCGTGAAAAATCACTAGGCACGTATTTATGAAATCACGGGCATGTAAGGAATAGGATTGAAGTCTGCATGTAGTGACACTGGTGATACCTGGGAATCCTCTGCATATCTGGACGTACTTCACTACGGAAGTTAAGCAATGAGTTATCTTGTGCCCACGCCAGTGCAGAGGAATCTTCTTTCTGCCGTTCTACAGGCCAAGTCACCCTGGTAGAGGAGCAGACTACCTCTTAGTGAGTTACTAACAATCATGGTCATTTGCAATGTCATGGTAGTCAGGATCGATGGGGATCCTTGGCATATGAGTGCTTCTATTTTGTATTGTCTCCTGATATGGTGTTCTGTGGACGATCAGTTTGGTGATGGTGGCTGTGTCCCTGGGAGGATGTAAGCAGCACAGATACAAGGACGGTGGGCTGGTGTGATAGGGTCTCCTGGACGTTTGGGCAGGTTGGGCCCTTGATGTAAGCCCAGGTTTTTACTGGACAACCCTAGGATCTGTGTAGCTGGAAGGGCCTTCCACGGTTACCATCTCTCCTCTGTCCTAATTTTACACAGGGCAGAGCTAAAGCCCAGAGAGCAGATTACTTACTTAGAGCCCATTGAGGCTAAAGTTGAGACTAGCTAGAATTTCCTATCTCTTAGAGAGAGATGCAGAACAATCTTTTCTCCCTCCCTTCCTTTGTAAATATTCTTGACTACATTTTACCCCTTTATTTTTCAGAATAAATCCTCTTCCAGTTGACAAGTCTTATTTTGCTGTTGTCTGGAGAACGTGGTTGTGGGAAGTCCACTCTGATCGCCAACTGGGTGAATTATTTCAAAAAGAAATATCCGAGCGTGTTGGTGATCCCTCATTTTGTGGGCACCACCTGTGAAAGCAGTGACATCATGTCCGTGATGCATTGCTTCATCACAGAATTGCAGTTCAAAAACTATGGTAATGGAGTCAAGCTTTTAACCTCAGGAAGTTTTTGTTGGAGGGCAGATATTCTGTCTACTGCTCGTGTGGCCGTTCTCCTCTTGTTCCAGCATAAACCCCGTGTTGTCTCACCTGCAGAATCTGCCCACCTCTTCCCCTCACAGAATTAAATTTCCTTCCTTTCCTACTTCCTTCTTTCACCAAAAATGGATTGAGTACCTAGGGCACTATTCTGGGCAGTTCCTTACCCTCATGGTGTTTTTTATGTTCTTGGGGTGGTGGAGACAAAGAGTTAACCAACTCAATGTTTGATAAGTTCTATGAAGAAGAAGAAAACAGAGCAAGAAGGGAGGCTCTGTGTGTGTGTGTGTGTGTGTGTGTGTGTGTGTGTGTGTGTGTGCGTGAACTGTTAGGACTTGAAAAGTGTGGTCAGGGAAAGCCTTGCTGCAAAAGGGACATTCGAATACATACCTGAAAGAGGGAGCCACACAGATATCTCAGGGCTAGCATTCCAATCAAGGGAAACAAGTGCAAGGCTTCCAAGGTGGGACATGCCTCTGAACTACTGCTCTTCCTCTTCGATTCAGTAACTATTTATCGAGCAGGTTCATTCACTCACTTGCTCATTCATTCCCTCACTCCTGAATATTTATTGATCACCTGATCTGTGTCAGGCACTTCTCTGGGTTCTGGGGATGTACGCATCAGGCAAATAGGGTCACGGCTCCCATAGATACCACTATGGGTGGTTACAGTTGAGAAAGGCAGATAACCGATAAACAGGAAACATATAATGATAAATGCCATGCAGCGTGATGTGATAAGGTGACAGGTTGCTAGTTAGTCTGAGTGGTCAGGGACTGTCTCTGTGTTAGAGTATCTCTAGCAGCTGTGACGAGTAAGTCCCATTTCAGTGGCTTCTCGAATGAAGTTTATTTCTGATTCATGGAGCAGTCCAGTAAGGGGTTCCTAGTTAGGCAACAAGTGGCTTTCCTCCATGTGGTGATTTGGGGACACAGGCCTTTTCCATCTTGAGGCTGTGTCATCCCCTAGGACCTCAGAGTCCTCTGCCTTTGGCTAGAGGAAGGGGAAAAAGGGTGGAAAAGGTGCACCTGTCCCTTTAAAGCCTTGGCCTGGCAGCGATCCACATCAATCCCACTGCCATTCTTTTGGCAAACACTTGGCCACCCTGGGCCCACATGGCTGCACTGGGAGTCAAGTGGGGACAGAACGCTAACCCCACGCTCTGGAAGGGGGACATGGACTTTTGCAGGACAGGTAGCCATCTATACCCTGTAGAGACCTCACGGATGAGGAGGAGCTGGCCATGTGGAGATTAGAAGAAAGAACGTTCCAGGCGAGAGAGTAGTTAAGGTAACACAGGTCCTAAGCCAGAAGCAAAGTGGAGTTAGAGAGGGCAAGCAGGCCAGTGTGGCCGGGCCATGGTGGGCAGGAGGGGGACTCATATCAGATGGAGCCGGAGGTGAAGACGGGGCCATTTCAGGGCTGGGCTTTGTTGGACAGAATGTTAGGTTCAGATTCTGTTGAGTACAGTGGGGTGACCAGTGGGAAATCTTAAGCAGGGGAGGGGTACGATTTGATTGATATTTTGAAAAGATTAAAATCTGTCCGATGTACGGAAAATGGATATGGAGGAGCAAGTATGGAGGCAGGGACACTTGTTAGAGGCTTTTGCAATGGTCCAAGCAAGGGATGACAGTAGCAGAGGAGGAAGAGGGCTTTAGATAGATTGAGGGTTTGCTGAGGAGTTGAATGTGGGTTTTGCAGGACAGGAGGAGTTGAGGACAGCTTTGGGAAGCTAGACAGACAGTGAGCGCTGTTTGCTGAGATGGAACATTATCGGTGGCGTGGGAGCAGCAGGTGTTGGGGAGAATCAAAAGAGTTTTGCTTTTGATGAAAGACATTTGAGATACAAGGTGTACGTGGGGAATGATAACAGTCACGGGAGATCTGCCTCCATTCTAGGAGCAGTTGACCTCGATGGCTACTTATTAGCTGTCTGACCTTCTGCGAGTTATTTTAACTCTATGTAGCTCTGGTTTCCCATTTGTAAAATGCAGATGATTAAAAAAATGTCTTATAGGTAGTTGAGAGGATTGACTAAGATAAAGTAGGAAAAACAAAGACACTTAGCTCAGCTCTTGGCCTATAGGAAGCGCCGATAAATATCAGCTATTATGTCGTTAGGTGTCTGCCATATGTTTGCATGTCTGACTCTGCCTGCTTTTGGGAACTCATCCCTTCTCACCTGGGGCTTGTACACAAGTGCACATTTGGGTTTCGCCTGGGTACGTGGGACGCAGAATGGGTTTTGATGGACGTGTATTATCTCTGTATGATGGGACAGGTATTTGAGTGCCTTTCTGTGTGTGTGGTGGGTATGAGTAAATAGGGCGAACATGTGGGCGTGAGTTCTCTGACATTGCATTTCTCGTTGTAAAGTGGGTAAAACCAAAATCAGCAGCAGCAGGTGTGACTGGTTCTACACGACAACAACTGATCCTACTCAGCCACATCCCAAGGGTGTTCCGACCAGCCAGGCTGATGAGATAAACCCCACTGAGTATGCCATTAGGATTTTATTCCCAAAGGGAATTGTTAGTTTAATGACTGTGTTTCAAGGTGCTGAAAGCTCGTAACAAAAACAGCTGCCATCTGTATTCAAAAAAACATGGCTTTTTTTTTAATGTTTATTTTTGAGAGAGAAAGATGTGAGTGGGGGAGGGGCAGAGAGAGAGGGAGACAGAAGTGGGCTCCGCCCTGATGGCAGAGAGCCCCGTGCAGGGCTCGAACTCACGAACCGTGAGATCATGACAGGAGCCAAACTCAAGAGTTGGATGCTTAACCAGCTGAGCCACCCAGGTGCCCCATCAGCTATCTTAAAAACCCCAGCAGATTCAGATCATTCAGGAACAGCCTGAGCCTGACCAGGACTTTTCTGTCCCGAGAGAACAGCCCTCACTTCATTAGTAGGGGGCAGTGGGAGGCAGAGGGGAAAGGCTGTGGCTCTGGACTTGGCCCGCCTGCATTACCAGTCAGTAGCCTTTGGGCAGTTTATTTATATCTGCGGGGGGTGGATTCACAGCAACGACCAGGGATTACAGGAAGAGTACCAGGCACTCAGTTGTCGTTAGTATTATCATTGTTGCAGCGATGATGATGATGGTGGTGATGATGATGATGGTGATTCCTCACTGAGCTAGAGAAAGAGGCAGGGAGCAAGGGCCAGTTAAGGAAACAAGAAACCATTCATTGTAGACTAAGGGAGGAGGTAGCACAACAGGAGAGAGAGCTGTAGGTCAGCAGCGGGGTGGGGGGAGGAACTTGAGGGGAGCACCGTGTACCGTGTGCTCGCCTGCGCTCAGCTTCTGGTCACTGGGACAGGAAGCTGGGTTTCACCCGTGAGGTGGGTGTAAGCAAAGATGGCTATTGAGAACGCAGCTGGCCGAGGTCAGCTCCCTCTGTATGTCTCCCCTGTGGGAAAAGCCCCAGCCGTGGTTCCAGCTCCCGTGCAGGCACCTGGCCTCCCAGTGGGCTGACAAAGGCCCGTGAAGCTCCACATTTGCCCCCACCACCCCTGTTTGCCTAGATAGAGGAGCTTGCAGAACTGCTCGGGAGCCTTCCACCGGCCTGTGCTCCCCCTGCCTGCCTTGCAGGCCACTGATGTTCCTGCTTTGTCAGACATACACTCATGGAAGGTCGAGGAGAGCCACTGATTTTTTTCTTATTTCCCTGTTTTTCTTTCCCTTGTCACCCCTCCCTGGTGGCTATGCCCCGGACACAATGGTCTGGCTGCTCTGAGTGTCTGTCTGTGTCTGGCTTTTCAAAGACCTAGTTAATATCAAATGCCCAGTGATCCTGCATTCGTCCCAGATAAAGAGCGGGGCCTGGGCTGGTTCACAGCCAGGTGTGTGGGCAGAACAAGGGTTCAGGACGGGCCCTTGAGCCCAGGGCCCCTTGTCCTCACACGTCTGGCTCTCCTGAACAAACAGGATGGCTCCTCAGGCCCCTCTCCTCGCATCACTTACCGGGGAGTCTGCCCTCAATACCAGCAGGACTCCCCAGGGTCTGCCAAGCCTGTGCCTGGGCCTGGGTGACTTCCTCCAGGGGCTCTGCTCTGGTGCCACAGGTGGTTCTCCCCCAAGCAGCCGGGTCACTGGCCGCTTCCCTTGTCTGTCCACTGCCACTCCCATCTACTGGAATGCCCCTTTCTTTGTGGTCGGTGAGTAGCCATTCCCTTTAAAGCCCTATTTAAACTTTTTTTTTTTAATGTTTATTTATTTTTGAGAGAGAGAGTGAACTGGGGTGGGGCAGAGAGAGAGGGACCCAAAGGATCTGAAGCAGGCTCTGCCCTGACAGCAGAGAACCCGATGTGGGGCTTGAACTCATAAACTGTGAGATCATGACCTGAGCCAAAATCCGTTGCTTAACCGACTTGAGCCACTCAGGCATCACAAGGCCCTATTTAAAAAGCACCCTCGGGGGGCACCTGGCTATCTCAGCTGGTAGAGCATGAGACTCCCAATCTCGAGGTTGTGGGTTCGAGCCCCACATTGGGTGTAGAGATTACTTAAAAGCAAAATCTTTAAAAAAAAAAAAAAAAAAAAAAAAAAAAAAAAAAGAGCACTCGCTCAATAAGAGGGCCAGATGGCTGCCTCTCTCCTTCATCTCCAACTTTGAGCAAGTGGCAAGGGTAGCCCCAGTCCCGTTGTACTCTAGTTTATGTGGGTGTGTCCCTGCAAACACTGTGAGCTTGCCATCCTGGTCACCCACTACTTACACGTGGTCCTGACATTGTATGTTTTACTGTATCCCGTTATAGTCCTGGGAGTGCAGGAAACCATGTCTGTTTTATTGGCCATTCTCACATTCAATGCCTGACGCAGAGCCTGACCAACACAGAAGGTTCTCAATAAGTGTTTATTGAATGATAAGAGATAACACTGCCAAAAAGTGAAAAAATCAGTTAATCTCTGTCATTTTGTTACAAAGTATTTTGAAATTGTACCAATTGACTGTTTTTCTCTCCCCATGAATTTACCTTTTGTGACTGGGTGTTTAAAAACTTGAGCTGTTGGGGCGCCTGGGTGGCTCAGTCAGTTAAGCGTCTGACTTCGGCTCAGGTCGTGATCTCGCGGTCTGTGAGTTCAAGCCCCGCGTCCGGCTCTGTGCTGACAGCTCAGAGCCCGGAGCCTGTTTCAGATTCTGTGTCTCCCTCTCTCTGACCCTCCCCCGTTCATGCTCTGTCTCTCTCTGTCTCTCTCTGTCTCAAAAATAAATAAACGTTAAAAAATAAAATAAATAAAAACTTGAGTTGTTACTATTTAAATTAAGCAATAGGCTCT